CTGTTCCACTGCTCTGTTTCTCTGTTTCTTAGTTTGCTTTATTCTGCAGTTCTCTTGCCAACTGTGTGGTAGAACTACAATCATTATCTATTCCCAGTTAAATGTTCCTCTGCTATTCCCTGATGGAAGGACAACCCTCTTCCCTAGATAAGGGATTTTCATAGGAAGGAGAGAACCCAAACAGTACCTTTCAACAACCAGCCTCACTCTGCTTCTTCACTTCTTATTACACAGAATTGTCTTACAGATATCCAGTTGCTGCTTCAGTAAAACATTCACTGTCAAGTTGCGAYTAGATTCTGATACAAAGAAGGGCTTCAGCACTGAATCTGGGTTGAACATATGGCACCCAGTTTCTCAGGTCCTAAGAAACACAAATCACTGGGAGAAAAAGTAGTCTTCAGTATCTAATTTAGGAAGAATAAAAGCCTTCTATTTCCTAGAAAAAGGATTTAAATGTTTCTTCCTGAGAATGAGTTCTAAATAAGCATGTTACAGATGCCTCATCTTTGAATAAAGGGAGGGATATTTTCAGTTCTGTGCACTAGGTATTTTCAGCAAAGGAGTTGTACGAATGCTGAATTTATGCACAGTACCAGCAATACTCTTGCTCTCTGGAAAGCAACCATTAGGGTGCTAAGAAATGATTCTTACCTGCCTTACAGGCCTACTTGCCTTCTTACATTGTAGAATGTAAGAGCAGATGGACAAATTAAAGCTATTACATACATAAACAAGGTGCTCAATTAGAACTACTGCATATATAACAGTGTGTTCACATATTAAATAMACTACCCATAGAGCACTGTAGTATAGTAGTGCTTGCCAGGCAGTTTGGTTTTACAGAATTAATCTCATCATTAACTGAAAAATTTAAAATTGATACTCCTATTTATTGACATCATCATAATGTAGCACCAATGACTCAGGGTGAGAGCAAAGTAACAAGATGCTGATTTCCAACCATTTCTCCAGAATCAGGTCTCTTGCTGAAGCAGCTCTTCAAGGAAGAAACAGAAGAATCCAAGGTGACAGCCAAGGGCTCCAGTTTGCAATAAGAGCCTAATTTGCCTTATAGAAGCAGCTAAAGGACCTATGGAAAAGTGTGTGTTTAACAGCAATTTATCTCAACTATAAATGGCAACAGAGCAGAATTGACATAGCTCCACAACGACAGCTTGAACAATAACAGGATACTTCCATTAACAGAGTGGTGCTCAGCTTAGGAAGCAAAAAAAAAAAACCCCAAAAGACAATAACAACAAAAAAAAACAACAGCAACAAAAAAAGTAACTATACCAAATTGATTTGCTACAAAAGAAACATTTCTGCAAGTTGCCCTTCCAAAATCTTGCTTAAGACATCATGGGGGGATACAGTGGCCCCTAAAGACAGGAAGTTTAATGCCTGAGGAAACACCTGCGTATATGCAATTTTTCTTTAAGCTCATTTCATTAAATCTCTGTGCTAAGTTGCTTTATGTTAAAGCAACTCCTATATCAGCATTCTGGTCTGGTGTGATATTTAGATGTAAAGTGAACCTGCTGGAACTCGCCCTTCAGAGGGGAAAAAAAAAACCCCACCACCACCACCACATAGACACACTTCTATAGCTATTTTCATCTTGCAAGAGGCAATTTCAGTTGCAATGTTTCAGCTACCTGCCCAGCAAGATACTCCTAGCCATCTAACAGATGGCTAAATTGAATCTACAGTTGATACATTTAAGGGTAGAAAAGCCTAATGTAATCTCTCTGTTGAAAATAACTGAAGCGCTCCTACTTCTTCTTATCCCATGGATAAACTTAATGATGAGGTCAAATCTTCTCTTAGCCATGTGTCAAGACTCCCATTAAAGTCAAGTACAGGAATCAGTCAAGACCCTCTTCACTCGCCTCAAGGAGGAAATACTTAACAGTGAAATCACTCAGGGCATCTTAGAGCTCAGCTATAGAGCTCCTCCTGCTTCTCTCAATTCCAGCTGATCCTCTGACATCCTAGCATCTTGTGTCCTTCAGGACCTCAGAGACTGTTCCTCTAGTGGGATAGACCACGCAAACAACAAGAAAACTTGCAGTTGAGGCCTGTAGTGTTAGTTACATCAAACAYCTATGGGTCTCTTCATTCTGATTTGTCATTCTGCATCCTTCAGCCAACACAAGAGTGTGCTGCACTAACAGAAGGAAAAGAGCAGAGCCTGCCAAGAAAGGGCCAGCAATCAAAATAAAGAGTTGCTCCAGTGCCTGAGAACTGCCTGAAACGCTCATGACACAACCAGAGACCACTGAAGAARGACTACACCTTCTCACGGCTCAGATGAGCAAAGACTCTTCTACAGATCTCATCARCTAAAAGCGTATCCTTACAAGCCTATCTGGGGTCCTAAGGTGAATGTTAATTTACAGAATTTTGCAYGAAATCTATGAATCCCTAAAAATCAGCAAATGACCAAAGATAACTCCTAATAAGTTATCACAACACCACCCCCCCCCAAAAAAAAAAGATAAGTGTCCAAAGTATCTTCTGAAGAAACCTTTAAGTAGAAATTTATGAAGAAAAGACAGCAAATTCTACTTCAAACAGCAAAAAACAYAGGGTAGAACTGGGAGGTAGTTATTAGTTTACTTGGACCTTTTTTCTAGTTACAGCACAGCATATCTRAGATGTGATCTCTACATGTAACAAAACGTTTTTGATTTTTCCTTAAAAATCATTTCACTGTAGATTTTAAAAGCAATATTACAACTCAACTAGAATTAGATAAAACACAGTCAAAACTTCTGATTCAGAAAATCAAAAAGAAGGAATTCCCCTCCTGACAAAAATTAGGAACATTATTYTCTATGTACAGGTGCAGCCTCTACCACAATCTTGCTGCAGCAAAACAAATTAGATGTTAATGCCCAGYGCTGTTAAAAACAGATCTGAGAGCCTCCAAGTAACCTCTTACCTTCTTGGTGGCAGTCTACGTCCATGCACAGTTCAGATGCATTTAGCAATGTAACATCCAACATCATCCTCAGTGTCTTGAGGTGTGTGCGCGCCGTGATTCACTCCGACACGTCTTCCGTCGGTTAACGGGGAAGGGACGATGGAAACTTCAAGCTAAGACAAATGCAAAAAAGAGAAAAACTGGAATTAACTTACTCGGGATTAGCCAGCACCAGCATGAACGTTTATGTTGCGGCAAAAAGCACCTGCTGATTCGGAGGAAGAACCAGACCCACTTGCAGCTCAGCTGTAAACCAGACATCAGATCAAGAAGAGTGGCACCTAAATCACGTATCCATCAACTCCTCCTAGTCAAGCATCAAAATGTATTCTATTAGGCTGGTATGTGGTGTTTAAGACAAATCAGAAAATAAATCACAAGGCTAATTATGGATGTCCAACCGCGGGCCAGAGTAAACTGACCCCATAATAGACACCAGGAGCTTGGCTAGGGGCCACCAGGGGACAGTGGCACAGAACAGTGGAGCTCCACTTGAGAGTTCAAAGACCCTCCTGAGCCCTTTCAAAACAGGATTCAGAAGCCCAGGGCAAAGATTTAGGCCTCTTACTTTGTTTGCCTGGAACAGGAAAAAAAAAAAAAAAAAACCCTTTTTGAAGGTATTTTGAAGGACACTTTAGTGAGGAACAAAGAAGCTGCAAGTTAACTAAAAAGGAAAAGAACAGCGAGTAGAAAAATCACTTACATATTGAACAAATTTAGGGGGACAGATATCATTACAGCTCCCCAAATTTGTTTCTGTTGTGGGGACTAGTAACAAATTATTGTTAGTGAATAAGGAAGCTTAAGCACATTTTCCACGTGGCTCTGCACAGCCACCAGAACAACTCACGGACTTGTGCTCTTTTATAAACTGAAAATAACCGCGCAAAGCAAGTCTTCCTAGGACACATATTGCTAATATGTGGGAATCCCATGGCTAAGAGAGTTTTAATGACTCATTTACTAATACAGGGATTAGGATCTGTAAACATTACCAAGGTAAACAAGCACATCAAATACATGTTCCTTYTCCTGAACCTTTGCAGGTGTAATTCACTGAAATCCAATGGCTGCTCTACATCAGAAACCTGCCRTTTGGGTCGCAGATTTGGGGATGGGCAAGAAGAAAGTTATATGTACACAGATTTCAACTCCCTCCTTTGGGATTGATGATCTGATGTCCTCGGAGTCTAACATAGCTGATAACATGAAGAAAACAGGCAGAATTTGGCCCCCTTAAAAGGATGACCGAGAAACATTTTAAACATCAGGAACTTCATAAAGCAAAATCAGGACTGGCAGAGTTTGATAAAAATGCGTATGGGAAAGAGAYCCGAGGTAAGTCTTTTTATTGGACTTATTTTTAAGACTAGCATTATTGCCATTATGGAAAACAAAGTGAAATTCTTTAATTCCTGGTCCAAAAAGGCCTAAAATCCCATGCAACTGAAGGGTCATCTGGGCAGCTTTCACAAGCAGTTTAGGAATGAACCTCTCAACGTTTGCAGCTCAAAAGGGGTAAAAGTTCAGGCACTTGTCAAGTGACACTGGAGCAAGCGATTTCTGGGCAGGGAAGCAGCTCCRGCAAAACAAAACCGAAATCCTTCTCCTACGGACGCAACACAAGGAATTTCCAAAGAATTTCCATCATTTCTCTGGCTGAAAAAAAAAATGAAAAAAATATAATAAAAGACTTTTTTAAAAAGCTGGGAAGTCGAAATTCGGACCGAGGGAAGGGGCGAGTTGAAAGGAAGCGGCTTCCTGCCTGGCCGAGCCGCGCTGCCCACCGCGGCCGCGGGGACACCGGG